CCAGGATCCACCACGGCCACGACGTCGGGACCTCCACCACGGCGAGCGAGGACGCGTCGGCGCGGCGGCCTCCCTCCACCACGGCGGGATCTCCACCACGGCCACGACGCCAGGATCCACCACGGCCACGACGCTAGGACCTCCACCGCGGGCGAGGACGCGTCGGCACGGCGGCCTTCCTCCACCACGGCGCGGCGGGATCCGTAAGGAGGCACGGGGATCCACGAGGAGGCGTCGACGTGGTCCCCTGCGAGCGACTGGCGAGGTGGTGGCGGCCCTGCAGTGGCGTCGGCGTGTCCAGCCGGCTTCTCCAGAGAGCTGGGGCCCGGCTGGCTGCTCCTCTTCTCCCTCCCCGAGCGGCACGGATCTGCAGTCGTGGGAAGCCCGGATCCGTCGCCGGTGGGCTTGCCAGTGGGCTCGAGAACGGGCTCGTCGGCGGGCTCCTGGTTTTTTTGTTTTTTTAACGATTAACCGCAGCGGACATCCTAACGTGCCCACCGTGGTAAAAGTATATTTACCGTGGTGGGCACGTTACACCGCACGCCGCGGTTAAGCCATGATTTACCATGGCCTCTAGGCCACGGCGGACGGCTTTGCCCGCCGCGGAAAACCAAAAACGTCCGCCTCTAGTAAAGTTTGTGTAGTAGTGCATGATGGCAGCGCGAGACAGAGTAGCAGGATGCGGGGCTAGCGGCAGCGTAGAGCTAGGCAGAGGAGCAGCGTGCAGGGCAACAACGGCAATGGGGCACCGTGGCCCGCGGCTGAACGGCAGCAGGCTCTACGGCCAGAGCGGCCAAGGCACAACCGAGTCACGGCCAGGCCGAGACGGCCTCGGCCGGCCAACGCGCGGTAGTGCGCGTGCACGTGGTGCACCCAAGCACGGCGACGCCGAGTTCCCGCATGAGGTGACCACGCACACAGGGACAGCCAGCCTGAGACATGCGACGTGCATGAATTTTAAAGCGTTGATCACGATCAAACCGTTGCTTCTAAACCTAAACCATCTTTACCATGCTCAAGATGGCATATGAGACTACCAAATCGAGCTATAACACTACACCACCTTTAACCCGATCTCTCAAAATAATTTGCTAAACATAGCAATGTCTAGCTGTTGACAGACTTGGAAATTTTCTAAGTTTTGAGCTGAACTTGATTTCAATTTGCAATTTCTAGGCTAGTAGAAATATTAGCTACTAATATCATTTTTCGACAGCAAGTATTTCACTGTTATCTACAAAGTTTGTACTTTAAACTTTATTTAAGTGTTAGATACATGTTCTATAGCATTTTTGTTCAATAAAAATCAGTTTACACCCCTACTTGTTAACTGTACAAATCGTGGAGCAACTTTCGTTTCGCATTTTTATTGATCATTTTGAGTTATAGAAATTAATCTATACACTTTTATCACATGCATTAACATATGAACATGATGCTCATGACATGTTTTAATAATTGATTTAGGGTGTTACACCAAGGGTGTTACAATGCCCTAGCCACTGCTAGCGCGACTACGTCCGGCTAGCAGCAGCAGCTGATGGCTAAAGGGGGCTTACAGCAAGGTTTGATGACAAGAACATTACTTCTTTGAATACACACACATCATTTCTAGAAAATGACCAATTCCTAGAGTTTGAGTATATTAATTAAATCTTCTAGTTGCATGTTCCTAAGTCCTCCTTTTTATGACTATGGTAATAGATTGCTATCTAATGATATTATTGCATGGAGAGAGGCATGAGGCGGAAAAGACCAACATGGACGTCAAAGCCAAGTTGGAGATCCAATCCATATTAATTCGAGTCCACCTCAAATATGATGTGCATAAACTAACTACCATGGAGTGCATCATAGGTTTTTATAGTGCACTCTACCTTAACTAACCCCAAAAGAGGTTTGTAATCTAGAGTCAATACTATCAACTAGCATATGGTAATCTGGGAAATATAAATGCGACACAAGACAAACACAATGCGGAGGCTTAAATTTAAGGTAAAGAGCAAATCAAGATATACCAAACTCTCTGAGATGATGATGTATTTCCTAGGTCTAAGTATCAAAATGGAATCACTAGTCCATATTTGTTTAACCTGTGAAATAACATTTTTGTTAAAATGTTATCAAATTTCCTATAATAAATTAGTTGTCACTACCCGTTGGTTATTATAGTGCTCTATCGTCGTATCAGCATGGCCTCTCAAAAAAAGTTCTTTTGAGGTCTTGTTATAAAAAACATGAGTAATTCAAAACAAACACAAATAAGACAACTTGTTAAATAAGGTTGTGATTTAACTTGCTACAATTATAAGACGTTTTAACTTTTTCTACATACATATTTTTGTCATGCACTCATATATATATATTAAAAACAATGTATCCATAAAAGTCAAAATATTTTATAATTAAAAACATAGGGAGTATGAGAGAGATTTCTAATAAATAAAGAAAAAGACTAAGTTGACATTAAACCAATGCAAAGCTCTTTCATATAAAAGCTGGAACCAGTTTCCCTAACGTTAAAAATCACCTGCATAAATTCAAAAAAAAAAAATCACCTGCATGGCTCCATTTGAGTCACCGACAGGCAGGCCCAGGTGGCCAACTGCAAAGGAGGCCCATGCCCATCCGTAAAAACTGCAAGGGCACATCTGCCATGAGAATTGAATGACGAGGGCGTTAGTGCAATTATCCATGTGATTTGTTCGGCTTCTTTTATCCTGTTCCCTTCAATCTTCAGTCTCCATTTCGGGAGAAAATGGCAATTTGGCCATCTCAAGCTACTTTGCCATCCCGTGACTCATTTCCTATTATGAATCGCGGTGATCATCACGCTAGAATGCCCTTTTAGTCCACTGCCCAGTTTCTATTCCCTAATTACCCCTGCCCCTTCAATCTAAAATTCCTTTGCCAATGTCTGGGACTACGGAACGGACGGAAAACGGATCGGCCGAGCGGGAGCTGCTCCTTCACGCAAGTGCGACTGCGCGAGGCTCCGCCAGCGCCGCCCGTACACCATTGACGCCCGCCCCACGCCGCCTCTGCCCGAGCGACGTCAGCTCCTCTCCCGTGTCGACTGCCACGGGAGCGACCCCTCCCTGCTTCCCACGCCGGCCCCATGGCAGCCACGCCGACCACGCCGGCCCCCACGCCAGGCCAACGCCGCCGCCTCAACGCCAGCCGACACCGCCACCCAACGCAAGCTCGACGGCGCCGCCCCAACGCCATTACGCCAAGGCGTTGCTGCCGCCGTCATAGCTCCATGGCTCTGCAACCGCCGGCTGCTCCAGCCATGGTGGTGCTCCACCCGCGTCGGTGAGCAGCTGCCCGTGCAGGAGCAGCGACTACGTGCCGCAGCTGCAGGTCGGAGCGCCAACGATAAGAGCGTCACCGCTGCTGCCGCGATTCAGAAGCGCCGCGCCGCCGTGGTGGATGCTGGAGCTGCTCGCAGAGGCGGATCAGGGTGCGGCCGCACTTCGTGCGCGCGAGCCCGCCGCTGCGCATCACGACCCGCCGCGCCAACCGCGGATGAAGACGACGCCGAGCATCAGGGCACTGCGGCCGCCGTTGCGCGTCGGGGCGCCGCCGCCACTGCGCATCAGGCCATCGCCGCCGCCGCTGCCTTCTGTGCGCCCGCTGCCGCGGCCCTCCGTGGCACCCGCGCGCCGCCTCAAGGGAACCGGCGGGGAGCCGCTCGACGGGGCCGCGAGCAGCCACGGCCGCGCGCGCGCTCCGGCACCGCCATCTCCTCTCTCGTCGACGTACGTCCGCTGCCGACGCCGCCCTCAGCTTCTGGCGGCCGCCTCGCGATTTTATGTTTTTGTTCCGAGCTCGAGCAACCGTAGGGGTAATTCAGGAATAGAAAGTGCGCAGCAGACAAAAGGCATTCTAGCGTGATGACTGTGTTTCGTAATGGCAAATGAGGGAATCCATTCGTGGGATGGTAAAGTAGGAGGATGGCCAAATTGCCATTTTCTCCCATTCCGGACCCCGATTTCCCTGTCGTCAAATCTGCCCGCCTGCTACTTGGAGCAAGGAAAGGAATTCTTCTTATCTTAGCATAAAATTCTTGTGAAGCTTCCATACATGGCCACATTTGATCAGTTAACTGTTAATCCTAAGGTGATTTTCTGCAATCATGATGTGCTCCTTTGTTTGCGTTCTTCAAATTTGAAGCCACCGTTTTTCTTATGATTCTGAAACTGCGACTTGGAAACCAATATGTAGCGCCATTAGAACTCAAGTCTTCAGTCATACTATGATTCCTAGAAATAAAGGTACAACTTTCATGTTTGTCCGTGTGTTAATGGCTGCATGCCATGTGTTTGATGAAATAGCTATATGAGATTTTCCATGGGGTATTATGACCGTATGGGGGAATTACTGAATGTCCATTGTATTTGATGAGGAATCCAACAATGTTCCTAAAAACCATCATGTAAACATATTGTTATTTAAGTCTTTAGAATCCATCCTTTTATACCAAGTTGATATGGCATTCGAGGAACTGTGGAAAGTAAGAGCAGTAGCATATTCATAGGAGAGCTTTGTACTTGAAATTAGTAGTCCCAGTAGTTGGAATACAAGATTTCTAGTTTCATGAAAAGAGTGCTCTTTCTATCAACGCAGGGTTCAGACCTTTTTACAGCAGTTGAATAGGTTTAGCTTAGAATTAAATCATGCCCCCGCAAGATTGGCTGGCCATTGAGGACTTGTTCCGATGAGTTTTAAAGTGCCGGCGAGGCACAGGCTTAGTAAGTGAATCGGCAAGTTGGTCAGAAGTATGAACATGAGAAATATGCAATTTACCAGTAGCAACTTGATCTCGAACGAAATGGAAGTCAATGGCAATGCGCTTCATACGAGAATGGAACACGGGGTTGGCGCAAACATAAGTGGCACTTACCTCTTGCCCATTACTTTCATTGAGTCCTATAGAGTTTAGAGTACAATAGAAACATTTTCCAGTCCACTTTGATGCTAGAACTTCATACTTTTAACTATATACATATCTTAATGATGTCTACTTTATTTTCTAATACACAAGAGGGATGAAGATCAAAGTTGCACTGCTTACAAGAGAACACCCAATACCTCCCCTTCTTCTGGCATTCATCACAAACATAGGCCTTAGCCATGTCCAACTCAAGCACGTGTCTGTGTCTTGGATCATTCACTTGACGAGGCAGATTGTCTCCTTCCTTTCTGAGTGCTTCATCCACTTCAGAAACTCTAGATTCTGTGAATGGGAATGCTGTTGCACCATAAGTTGATATTGCTGTCCTGCCATCTGTTTTTAGAACTTTACCATCCAAACCAAGTATCAGGAGTCCTGGGATGCCCTTGACAGTGAAGATTCTTGTAAGCTTTTGCCTGGCAGTGTCAGAATAAGGGATGGCAAGCCATGGCATTGAACTCATGCTTGCTTGGAATTCCCCCTTATTGCGGTCTATAGAAATGAAGATGACCTCGAAGCTTCCAGGTTTCAAGATTTTCAGCTCATTATAAACCTCCTTGAGTTGTTTGGTGAAGACATGGCAAGGTGGGCACCAATGTGCTCCAAAATACAGGCCGACTGTCTTGCCAGTAAGGTCAGCTATAGGAATCTGAAAAAACATTGTCATAGGAGAAATTGAACTGTAAAATTAAACCAAATTAACTAAATGGTCATAATGAAAAATGCAAAGGAGACATGGATCATGGATTGACTTAGTATGGCAACACAATTACCAACAATTGTGTATCATCTATAGAAGTGTTTTTGGTTAATGATGCTCTACAATCTAATTATCTGCAAATTTGTCGTGCCCCAATGGTGGCTACATAGTTTGCAAATGCATTATTGAGATATCACACCCTTTTCCCCATTTCTAGTTTTGTATTCTTTATATGATTACAGCTTTAAGCATAGCTAGATTAACAATATTTATTAATCTTCCATTTCCAATTTACATGGTATATATTCTTCGCCAAAGGGCCTCTAGTCCAGTTGGTCAGAGTACCCTGACTCCATTCCTCATGTCCTGGGTTCGACTCACCGTGGGAGCGGTTAAAAAAATCCCCTCGTCCGTCCTATATCCAAAGCACTGGGGGCACCGGCCCAATTCTCACTTGGGCGACGGAAAGCCACCGTGTAAGGGTGGGGCGGGGGTTCAGGGGTTTTCTCGGCCTGGTGAGAAGGTCTTCTTCTTATTTGAAATGCTGTGGTGGCAGTTTTAACTCCTTTAGGTCGAGTTTTTTTATGGTATATATTCTTCTACAATAAAATTAGAGAGATATTAGGAAGAACAAGATTGTGCTTGCATATTAGCTTCTATTATGTGCACTATTGGGATCCTTGCTATAATGCCTTTCTTTTATTTGCAAGATTGTGTGTTGTTCTTGTTCCGTGTTCCCTGTCATAGGACATACCTACTGACATAGTTTCTCAAGTCTGTATCTAGACTATTTTCTCACCTGAATCATGTCCTATTTTTTTTTATCAAACTTGCAAATGTAGTATGTAGTATTAAACATATTTCCTATTAACAGAGGCATTTCATGAGTTTTTTTTTGTTCACCTTTATGTCATCTGCACTTATGACATAGTCTCTCTCCTTGCAGCCAAGAAGCTCCTGAAGCTTACCTCCTTTTCTCCTGGCATCATCCATGGCCTCCAGCTCCCTTCTCCTCTGTGCACTGAAGGGGTATGCATCTTCTCCATACTCATCAACCAGCTTCACTGCATCCTCTTCAAATCCCACCCCACTGGATGGCGTTGCTGACAAAGGGATCAATGCTGGGATATGCTCAATGCCAAAGTGTGCACACAACTTCTGCCTTAAGCCAGTGTCAAATGGTAACGCAAGCCACGGCATGCCTTTGAAGTGATCCCAGAAGCTTGCGTCGTCACGGTCCAGTGATATGAAGATTATTTCAATATTCTTGCCGGTGTTCTGGAGCGCCGTGTAGATCTGGACAAGATTTGGGGTGAAGTTCCTGCATGGCCTGCACCAGTGAGCTGAGAAGAAGAGGCAGGTTGTCTTCCCTTCAATGGAGGACAGAGGTACTTCCTGTTTTTTCACAAACAAGAAATCATTTTCTTATTAGAACTAGCACAGCAGAACTTTGGAGATTCGTGTGCTATGGCACTGTTTAGACTATAGTGTCGTTTAAATGAAACAGTAAGTCAGTAAGTGCTATTACTTTAGAAAAATCAGGTCAGATACGCATGTCTCAATGTTAAACTTAAGCGAATATTTCAGTTTACGCTTGAGGAAGGAGCACTACAAAAAGTTCTCTAGAAAGATTCATATAAGTTCGATGCTTGTTCATTGTAGTAAAGGCTTGCTCACATAACATGTTTTGGAACAGTAAACACAAACTGGTGTAGGAACTAGTGACGCAGAGTAAACTGAAAAGCCAAGCTTTGTTTCTGGGCATATGATTAATTCTCATGAGAGAGCTAGAAAACACAATACATCATATATAGAAAACAGGAACAAAACAGAAGATTGAAGTTCAGGGCTGCCAAACACTATATGATTCCTCTCACCTTTCCTTCATTGGAGAGAAGAAACTGAACACCAGCCAACTGTGACATGTTGACCTCTTTCTTCACCTCTTCCCCTCCTCCCATCTCTCCCGTATGTGTGTGTGGCGCTAACAACGGAACAAGAAAAACTGCTGCTGCTTTGTGGTTTCGTTGTAAACATCGATGCTTCGGGTTTTAAAGATTACCGTTGCTAGGATAGGATAGGAATGGCATCTTTGGCATGTTGTGTGTGCGATTGGTCGAGTAATATTCTAGCAATATGCTTTCCAGTATCCCAGCGGAGGGAGCAGCCGTGGTGGAAACATCAAGGTTACTTTGGATATATATGTAAGCCTAAGGATAAAGATGGACAGCGAGCTGAGGCGAGGCATGAGAAGGCAAGACAGAATGTGCTCATCCTCCAATCAGCATGGATGCCGATGATGCGGACCGCAAGCTGCTCCTCCCCGTGCAAATTCCTTTCACTGAATTGGACAGACCAGAGCGTCCAGCCGAAGATATGCGATCAGGTGCCAATTCATCCACAGTTTCACACACAGATAAGTTGGCGTTGGAATTAAATGTCAGCAGTTCCACAAGTGACTTGTGACTGTAATACTGTGTAATCAAACTACAAAAATTGCATTTGCTTAGCAGAAAGCAGGGCAACTCTGCGGCAGCACACAGCATATATGACAGCAACCGCGGTGAAAGGAATTTGCACGGGACGGAGCAGCTTGCGGTCTGCATCATCGGCATCCATGTTCTTGAATTGGACAGTCAATTCTGATTGGCATTTTCAGACCACATTTTTCTTTTGGGAAAAAAAACGCGGCATTTTCAGTGCACATCATGAACCAAAACCATGGACCAATGATATATGAGGGGAAATAAATTCGTTGTCGGTATCTAGACGGTTCTTGAATCGAACAGGGCTCGTAGGCCCAGAGAGAATCTGATAAATTATGCAGAAAGCAACAAATATGCCTTAGGAATTAGAGACGGCACGTACTGGTACTGTACCTAAAAGCTAAAATGCTGCGTATGTAGTGTGGTAATGAACGAGGTCTGTCTGCACAACAGCCTGAAGATCTTGTTCAGCATATAACAAAATCTTTTGTGGGCAGAAAGGCACATTGGATCTGAGGTTAGGATCTTGGAAACGGCGTGGTGCGTTGTGCAGTGTACAATGGTCAAGATCCTAGCTTGGCTCCCCTTTCTTGCTGTTGCTGCACCTGCACATTTCAGGTACTAGATTAGTTGCTAAAGGCAGTTAAGCCACAACCACTAGTATAATCACATGGTTAAGAAACATGCTTTGCACAGATGCACTTGAGAACTTGTATGATGCCTTGAAGCAAGTGCTACAGGGTATAGTATTAGTGCTAGAGAGAAGTTTGGTCCCCAACAACCTCTGGCTTGGCTTGGAATGGCGCTAGACCAGAAACTTTGACCTAATCTTGATATGGTCTGCGAGTTCATCACCACTTGCGAAAAAGTGACCGAGTCTCTCACTCAGTCACTCTCTCTCATGCTCTAGGTAGTTGTATACTAATGTTTAGTGTATACTGATCCAACTGCATGGCTTGGTGCTCACCGTAAACATGGCTGTTCCTATCATTCTGGCTCGCCTCCATTACGCTTACGCGCTACTCGTCCCGGCGTTGTGCGGGCCTGCGAGAGCCCGGCGTGTCTGCACATCCAGCAGCAGGAATTCAGTTGGGGATGGCGAGATGTTGCTGACTGCCAGACCCACTAACCAAAGCAAAGCATGTTGGCAACTTAAATCTGACGACGTGAGGTGAGCTCACCTGGTCGAGGAATCAAGCAGACAGATGATGCTGATTTATCCGATACAGTATATCCCAGGTCTCTAATATCAATGACAGGTCGCCTCCTTGCATAGGCAGAATTGCAAGCGTAACGGCCGAAATGTCAAAGAAATAGAGACTACGCAATTTCAAGCGTAGTGGCCGTGGCTTGGTCCTTATGGTGGGTCTTATTTCGAGTCTGCTCCGCCCCGTGCAAATTCCTTTCACCGCGGTTGCTGTCATATATGCTGTGTGCTGCCGCAGAGTTGCCCTGCTATCAGCTAAGCAAATGCAATTTTTGTAGTTTGATTACACAGTATTACAGTCACAAGTCACTTGTGGAATTGCTGACATTTAATTCCAACGCCAACTTATCTGTGTGTGAAACTGTGGATGAATTGGCACCTGATCGCATATCTTCGGCTGGACGCTCTGGTCTGTTTTCAGATGGCAGGATGAGCAGACATCAGTATTCTGCCCAACGCTTGTTAAAGAGTACTAGTTGGAGTACTAGTTGGAGTTGCAGCTTCACCTTGTCAAAGCGTTTTGCGTCAAAATTGTGCGCGATGTCAGCTGAAACGACACCGGTGTGGGCCAGTGGCATTCTGCAGAGACCACAGAGCACCACCGATCGCGCGGCCTCCACTCCCCGCACCGCGGCCTGCCATCCTCTCGCGTGTCGTGGTCCAAGTCTGGCCGTTCCACGCAGGCGGGCCACGAGAGGAGGGCTCGCGATCGCGACGGGCCGGCTGTGCGATCGCGTATCGGGCCTACCCATGCCGCGCGCGCGACGGCGTGACTGCTCCGTCCGACCCTCCCTCCCTGTCTCGTTCGCTCCGTCTTTCGTCGTGCCCCGGTTCAGGTTGCCGGGAGAGAGCGAGCAGGTGTACCGGAAAATAGCATTCTTGTCCGTCAGCCTCAATGTAAGGTGTACCGGAAAATGAACCAGAGGGGCATGTGCTGTGACTCTGAGCATGGAGCAACTAGCAACGTAGGCCGTAGGCCGTAGGCCGTAGCAGTCGAGCTCCCGACAGTGCCACTGCTGCTCGCACCACCATTCTGCAGACATCGATGGGAACTCTACAACTTCTAAACACGTCGTCGCCTGTCTCCAGGTTTCGCCGAGAGCCTTTCAAAAAAAAAAAAGTTTCGCCGAGAGTGCAATGTGTGGCAACGATCGGCCACCGCGAGCTATTTGCCACGGGCACAGGCCTGGCAGTCAATCGAGTACCCGACGTCGCCAGGCATTGCTGCGTGTATGCACCTTCTGCCAATTTTGCCTTCTTCAGCCTTCGACTCTACGCAGATGTGTTTTATACGGTAGCAAAAACTGTAGCAGTATTGGACAAAAGTGGGAAAAGAGCAGCAAGGTAAATGACACACAAACAGCCTATACCTGACGGGCAAAATAAACAAGCGTCGCTACTAAATCCTAGTACAAGCCAACAAGCCAAATAATGACACAAGAGCAGCAAGTAAACATGTCCCCTAAACGATAGCCGTATTCGAATCATGTTCGATCACCCTGTTCTCATTTCTCAGGCAGAGGCCATCTCGCCTGTACTAATTACTTTTCCAGTACCATTTGCTGTCATTACTCATTACCCTCAATCGACAATTGTAGTCTGCAGCTTCAGACCACGCAGTACACAGAATACCAAACCTACCGGTCCCGATCTGCAGGAGGAAAAAGTGAAGCGGTTTGCACGTGCTTCTGGAGTGCTAGTTACATCACGCTGACATGCAAATGCAGTTCGCGACATGTGTGGAGGTTCTGCTGCTGCAATCAAGGGCAGTCCACAGGCCCAACCCTTTCGCGGTTTCGCCCCCACAGAAAGTGATAGCAAACAGGCTCCTATGGATCCTGTACAATAAGTCGCATGGACCTGCCAACCTATTGTTCCTGGTTCTTGAGTTCATGATCAATAAGGCGCAGCTTCAGATTGTTCTCTTCGTTGAGGAGAGAGAGCTTCTCGAGCGAAGATTTCAGCAGTGACATCTGGGATTCTGAGATGTGGCTCCGTCCAGCCTTTGGTGCCTGCCATGGTGTCACTCCTGTGCTAGATGCACCGCCCATGGATTGCTGAGCAAACCGTTTCATCCTAGCACTCAGGGCGGCAATGGAAGAGCGCAAAGCATCCAACTCCACATCTGCAAACCTATCTGCAAAAGGTTTTAGCAGATACAAATTCAGTTAGCACATGAAACTGCAAGGTGAAGAATGCGAAATCAGATAAAACATAAACGGACCAAGCTGTGCCTTGAACTCCTGCTCTGCCTGGGATAATGGTTTCTTGTTTGCAGCAGGAAGCATCTTGAAGCTATCTATTCGCTTCTCCAACAGTTCATACACCTTGAAGGCCCGATCTATCCTCTTGTTAATGTCTCCGTCTTTGGCTTCTATGGATATAAGTGATTTCTTCACTGCTTCTAAGCGTTTCTGTTTGTCTTCCATTTCAGTCTTTAAATAGTCCGCATGCTCCTTGAGTTCAATGAAAACCTAATTATCAATAAATTAACCTCTTGATCAGCGCGTTTTCCTTTCATCCCTTCATTTATTATTACTGGGTCAGTAATGACACATTTATATTACAGTGTACAGAATCAAGTGATTTCAGTTGTCCGCCAAACTTTGGCTAATAATTCCAGATAACATGTTTTACGGCCTCGAAAAAAATTGCAAAAACGATAGTGGTTGAATACAAAAATATCATTGTAGCAATTTCTTACCTTGTGCCCGTACTCCACATAGTACTCATGGAAGACCTTAATATAGTGATGAAGCGTGGATTTTCCTTCAATAGAGTCAGGGGTCAACGATTTCAAGCTTGATGAAGATGGAAGTATGGGTGGGTCTGGACCAGCAATAAGCTCTTTGCTGATCATTCCAGTTGCAGGAGGCTCCACATCCTTGGTGCTTTTGCTTTCTATGTCTAGCTGAAGAGGTGTTGGTTCCTTCCAACCCTTCATCTCCACCACAAAGCACTCACCCAAGCATGTGATGCCAACTAACTGTACATGACCATATGCATCAGCTATGGTAACAAATCCAGAAAGAAAAGAACTTGTTTCACTGTTGCCTGTAGTGAGGAGAGGATGCACAGAGGGTGGTGTCGAAGACATTTCGGGGTATGAAAAAGGTAGGAAGTGCAGTGTGACCATGTCAAGCCCCCCACCATGCGCACAATAAAATCTCTCTGGAACAAGGGGGTCAGGAAACAATGACAGAGAGTTATCATTAGGAGTTTTTGGTAGTGCCAAATCCACAATTGCGAGCCTTAGCAAAGGAGGAGA